ATCCATCCCCCTTGTCCTCTCCCTCCCTGCCCTTGTCCCAAGTCCCTCCCCAGCTTTCCTGGAGCCCCTTCAGGCCCTGGAAGGTGCTCTAAGGTCTCCCTGAAGCCTTCTCTTCTCCAGGCTGAACACCCCAACTCTCCCAGCCTGGCTCCAGAGCAGAGCTGCTCCAGCCCTGGGATCACCTCCATGGCTCTTCTTCTGGACTCTCTCCAGCAGCCTCATGTCCTTAAACACATCTCTGGCCTCTCAAAGCCATGAAGATGTGTAGGGACCAGAAAGGAAGAAAGAGCTTTGGGGTCTGTGACCCCCGAGTGGACAAGGCTGGTGCCTGTTCTTGCAGCTCGAAGCCCAATTCTTGACCAGCTTTGCATCAGTAGGTGGGTGGGCAAAGCCCACTTGGGAGTGCAGCTCTGGAAGGAGTCCCAGGCTTTCCTGCCCTCCTCTCCTGGAGTTTATGGAGACATACCCAAGCTTTACAACGCAAGAGAGCAGAGCAGTCAGGGGCTCACAGCCCGTGGGCAGCCCCCAGCCCCTTCCCCACCCTCTGCTGGCCTCAGAGGTGGCCTGCCCTGTTGAACATCAGCCACTTGGGCTCTGTGGTGGGCACCATCCTGCCCTGCTCCTCCGTGGCCATCAAAGGCTGCAGCTCCTGCTGCTCCACCCCGTCTGGGCTGCTGTCACTCTGCAACCTGCTGCTCTTGGAGAGGTGGCTGGGGAACTGGAAGCAGGAGCTCAGCTCTGGCACAGCCTGGCTGGCAGACTGGGGCTGCTCCTCCAGCACAGAGCAGGTGAATCTCCTGGGCTGAGGTCCACTCTCCAAGCCCGGGGGGGAAGCGATGCTCTCCAGGGAGGAGATGCTTTGGTTCCAGGCCTTCTGCATATCCACTGGCACGATTTTGGTGGTCTCCGAGGAGACGTAAACAGCCAGATCAGCCTGGTCTCCTTTCCATGGCAGCTCCTTCTCAGCCAAGGTGGGGGATGGGGGGATGATGCAGGGGCTGGGGCAGACGTCCAGGCTGCCTGGGGATGCAGAAAGGTCATAGAATCACAGAATCCCAGGGGTTGGAAGAGACCTGGGAAGATCACCCAGCCCAACCCCCCTGCAGAGCAGGGGCACCCAGAGCACATCACACAGGAACGTGGCCAGGGGGGTTGGAATGTCTCCAGAGAAGGAGACTCCACAGCCTCTCTGGGCAGCCTGGCCCAGGGCTCTG